CCTTGGACTCTTTAAGAGGATAAAGTTGATATTGAAGCCTCGTTATCTTATCGTTCGACAATTACTTAATCATCAACAACATTTTATAAGAATGATATCTCTGTTTAATCAAGCTAATAAATAATCCCAAGCTTTTGAAGATTTTTCTGGTGGTGCTAACTATCAATCAAGTTCCACTCGACCTCCACTAGCCAAATCTCAGTCTCAATAGCAGATGGTTGTTTTAACTTCTATCGCAAAGTAAAGTAAAGCCTTGTGAGCTTCGACATTTGGACTATAAAGGAACATGCTAGTCACACAATCATGCAATCCCACATGACAAATGATATACTACCAAAAGACGATTAGACACGCCTATAAACTAGAAGTTAGTAGGAATTCTCCTTGGCGTACTCCTAGTGGGATTGGCAATCTCCCAATCGTCGGAGGCAAAACACCACCGATTTCTCTACGAACTTTGTGACATTGGCACATGCATTATTAAAAAACCCTTCCTTGCTTTTTCACATATGGTTTTCACCAAACCATTTATGATTCTTGACAGTGAAGGCCACGCACATGCCGAGTAAGTTTATCCAAAAGTTATGGTTGAATTGGCTTAGGGCAAATCCAATCTCTCCTGTTGTGGATGTCTTGGAATGATAACTCCACCTTCGCTTGGGAATATGGGTATCCCCAAATAGAAAGTCATAATATGCATTCATCCTGGCCTCACTCGATGCCTCAACATCAAATGTCACTGGACATCTAATATTTTTAAAATCACTCTTTGACAACTACCAACAAAAAAGAAGGGAAACTAAATGATATGCAAAGTTCATGCTAGGATTTCCAAAGAATAGGATTTCTAAGTTGCCTATCCTATGGGATGATACTTGGGTTCATGTAAGGCTCATACACAATTCAAAGAGTAATTGCATGTGATCTAAAATTAAAGGAAAAGTAGCACATACCTTGTTTTTCATGGGGATGTTACTAGCCAGAAATCGCCTCCACAACTCTCACATGCTAAGTAACTTCTCAAACTCAAACCAACCCCATATTTTACTAGAGCTCACTAAACACATATCAGTTCACTAAAAAACATAATCATGACACAAACAGTTGCGTAGCTATCCAAAGCCACGTGGCCTATGACCTATTAACTGTTCACACAGTGCACATAAATCTAAGTCACACCACGGCTACTAGTTCATTGTCATTCGGACATCACAATCATACTCTTCACAATGATACTTCATCCCATAAAGCGATCACCTCTTATGTTCGGAAAATAAGGCTACACTCAAAGGCATGGTCCTCTTATGTCTTACCAATTGATATGTCCATGAAGTCACCTCAGCTCAAACTCACCACCCTTTGGAACACTACTCATGCCTTTGACTCCTTGGCATGCCGCACCCATATGCATAATTGGTCAGTAACCTTCCTTCCAAGTGACTTCTTAGTCTAAGATTAAGGGAATTATGAGATTAACGTCAGTAATTGCGAACACCAGTTGGCAACCTTCACTAAGAGTCGCTCAATCATATTACTGAAGACAAGTGCAAGTCCTCAACTAAGAGGTCATTTCTCAATCGAGAACTTAGGGGACTCTTGTTTGTACCATATTTGACTGAGCCTATTCAGCAACGATAAGACAAGGAAACTGTCACATGACCAAATGATTATGCCAGCCTTTAGCGAGAGGGGGGGCTTAGCCTTCGGCAAGCCTACCTACTATGCCAGTACAACAAAGGCACTATCGTGCCAGCCTCCCAGGTGACGCTAGCAGTCCCACATCGAAAGAGTCACACAAAGTGTCTCATACATTTCCCTTATAAATAAGGCACTTATCCCAATATACCATGTATTAGTAAATTAGCACGTGTATTGTTACTCTGTCAATTTACTTTCAAACACTACAATTGTACTAACTTAAGCATTAGAGAGCATTCGACAAGTACCACACCAATGCTTAGGTCTTTACCTTTGCTCTCTCTATTTGTTGATTCTCGCACCATCCGTAGGACGCTCCCGACCTAAGACATGCCAAGTTGTTTAAAAACACAAATTATTTGTTAAAAATATGTTCCATGTCTATGTATTAAGGTTTTCTAAAACATTCGCGGGGCCATAACCATCATTGTCTCCAAATTGTTATGTTTTTGGAAGAATAATCATTGAATGATGATCTTGAAAATGTATGATTTCGATTATCCCACACCATTGTAGATTAAGAAAAGTAATATAGATAATGCATAGAGGGAAGGAACAAAGTAAAAGCAACAAATTCTCACAAGTATTAGTATATAAATCCTATATAGAGTTTTTTTCTTGGATTAAAATTCCTAATTTTATCCATTAAGGTTAATGTAAGGGGTCGTTGGTATGACAGACTGTCATGCACTGGACTAAATTATGGGGGATTAGCTCAGATTGGCCTTAGCTGGATTAAGTATTGACCTATGTTTGGTGTTGCGTCGGACTAAGAAGTTGGATTGTAAAAATAGTGAAGAAATATGTTCGGTGTTGTATTAGACTAAAAAATAATTATTTTAACATTTAAATTTAATAATATTTAGATAATTAAATATAATTTTTGTTTTGTTATTATAATCACCAAATTGACATGTACATTTCTTTTCCCCCCCAAAACAAAGGTTTTTTGTTTGTTGTTAAAATTATAAATTACACAGAGTTTGTGTATAATTAAGTCTTTATTTGTATGCAAACACAAAGAATTTGATTAATGTATCAATAACAACCACCTATATCAACTCATGCTTCGAGAATTTCAGGAGATGCATATATGCAAAACTTAGAATTTACATGTAAATGTCGATGTTAGAATTTCTTCATATATGCCAAAGTTAGAAATTCTTCATATATGCCAAGTCATCTACATGACTCAAAAATTAGAGGTTCAGCTCACTGCACACAATTCTACCATTAATACATTCAAATAAACATCCACAATTTCAAAATGAAACTAATAAGCTCCACGACCATGAACTATCTAGCTTTAATACTAGCAATATGTTATACCATTTGTGGTGTTTCCAAAATGAAGTCAATCTCATCAATGCATCATTTGTGGTGTTTCCAAAAAGATATATGCATCAAATTTAGCTAGGCCATGTCCTCAAACATTGTCACTAAGCAACTGCTCAACAAACAATTTTTTGATATTATTATTCAAAGACATGCACATAGATATATTTTCTGGCTTCTCCAAAATGAGTTTTAGTGCTGCAATTTGATACAAAGGAGAAAATCACATTTTCTTGAGTTCTTTAGTAATATCATATCGATCTTCATTACCTTTTATTATAACCTCAGTTACCATTTACATCCTTTTCCTAAATGCTTCAAACAATTTCTCAAATACAATCACAATTTTCTCTTCATCACTTAAGCTTGCAGCTCATTTCCTCTCATTTTGACTGTTTGTGGATTGGCTTCCTTCTTTGTTTAAAGACTTATGAGATGCATCTTCCTAAACACCATTATCACTAGCATTAATTTCACTATTGCTTTGCTCTTCCATCATGTCAGCAGAGACTTCAGCTCCTTGTCCATTTGCACGATACTTTTCAAAGATATTAGAAAGTCTATCAAACAAAGGAAATTGTTTGCTCATTCATTTAGCTGCTTCCTTGTGGTACTATGATAAAATAAGACATCACTTAGCTTATTTTCAACGTAAAAAGAAGTAAGAAACGCAAGTTTAAAATCTACACTCATCAAACCCACTCCCTAAATTAATTTAAATCGCACTTAATGATATATTACTTATGAACCATTTGTTATCGGTAAGTCCATCTCATGGAAACATCTAGGAATAAATCTGGCACAACTTCTAAGCAAGATACATGTATCACGAAATTATTAACTGACTCTTCGTACTCATGCAACATCAATAAAACAAAATATATTGCCTACATCATGTAGGAAAAAAGAAAGAATATAATATATATTAGGCAAGAGAATATGTAACCAAAAAAGTGACTTTTACTACATATGTAGCGTCAATAAACAAAAAAATGTTTCATCTCCAAAGTCAAAATATTCAGGCTGCAACATTAAAAAAAAATACTACCTTTCTAAATCTACTTTCATTAACAAACACAATGAGGATGATCTCATAAAGTTATCTATAATATATTTCCCCATCAAATTTTTAGTTGATAACTTCCACCCTCATCATCTATTCCCTCCCCCCCCCCCCCCCCCCCCCCTTCAAATCTTTTAATCTCATATTGCAATGGAAGTCATCTGCTTGTGAAGCCATATAACTCTCCTAGTATAACCCCCTCATGTTCAACCTCATTAAACAATAAAGGAAGACATTGCCGAATCCAAAGTAAAAAATAATTCAATGGATATCTTCCATTACTTTCTTTTTATACCTTCACCACTAACCTCCAATGAGAGAATCACAAGGAAAGAAGTTGGTATTATTACGTTCTCTATCTAGACATTTTCCCAAAAGCACCGCCAAATCTAATATGATAAACATGTTGGTATTATTACGTTCTCTATCTAATACTAGAATTTCATTTTTGACATTTATTATGTTCATTGTAATCAACAGACTCCAGCTATGGTTAAGTTGTAAACCAACTCTATAAAATACTCAATTTGTATATTATAGAACCCCAGAAGAATACCCAATTATAATCCAACCAAATCAAGTTAATCAGACTCAATATTCTTATCAAGTCAAGCCAATAACACACAAAATCCATATTCAAGACATAAAAAATCATACAAATTAACAATACTCATGAAAAATTATCATTGAAAAAATGTTGCTAAGAGAGAGAACATATTAGAAAAGTGGAAGAAGGAATAAGAGAGATATCCAAAGGGAGAGGTACGGCACAAGAGGTCTGAGTTTGTGGTTCCCTTATAATTATTAGGATTATTTTCTTTCTTTGAATTTGAAAGTTTATTTCCTAGTGTTTGGTTTTGGACTCTTTTTAATTTGTTACCTAACAGTTGGTGTGTACAACAAAATGAAGAAACCTAATGCCTCTATTCGTGATTCCAATGCTGCTCTGGAGGTTGTTTTTGTACACCTGGTTTGTTTTGATGCAATAATGTCTGATTTTCCCTTGTAGAATTTACATTTGTTTATATGGGCTTTGTGCGTGTGTTGTGTTTAGTTCAACTAACATGTAGTCAGAATCATCATGTACCCTGCTTTGCTTTGTCACAACCAGATGAAAACAAAATGTGTTTTCGTAGGTCATATAATTTCATTTCATTACAGTTGTGGCTTTTTGTATGGTTATGTTTGCATGATTTTTGGGCTTTTTGTTTTTAGCTACTTAATAGGTGTAACATGACATTTTGATCAGGTGAACCTACATTTTAATGTAATATTTATCTCAGATCAGTGCTTGGTGTGTTTTTTTATTTTTTTTTCCAAGGCTGCGTATGAGAAGGTTAAGAAGCAAGAGCAGTCATCTTCTAGGTCTGGTTTCATGTCTAAGAGTCAGACCTCATGTCTGGTTTCAGGTATGTTTTTTCAAAGAAACAGTCATCTATCGGTTCTTAATCATCGTCTCTCTAATTCAATTTTTCCCCTTTGTCCTTTTCAGATTGGGGAAATTTACCTAGGGACTTATTGGATAGAGTTTTTATAAGATTAGATTCAGAATCAGAGTATTTGAGGTTTAGTTGTGTTTGTAAGCAATGGCGTATTGTAGCAAAGAACAAACTGTGGATGGGTAGCCATTTTTTTGCTCGTGTGAGCTTAGTTTTCTTGGCCGTATTGAACTAGTTTCTCACTTTGAAAATTGTCATGCTTTTGAATCTTATGCTTATGATAATGTATGCATTTCTTAATTTGATTATTTTATTTTGTTTAGTGTAATTTGATTTTCTTTGGTTGGCTAATAAATATGTTACTTGTGGGCAGTTTGGCATTTACTTGTAGCAAAGGACAAACTGTGGATGGGTTGTCATTTTCTTTGCTCGTGTGAGCTTAGTTTTCTTGGCCGTACTAAACTAGTTTCTCACTCTGAAAATTGTCATGCTTTTGAATCTTATGCTTATGATAATGTATGCATTTCTTAATTTGCGTTATTTTATTCCATTTCCTAAAGTTAAATTTTTTAATGAAGATAACTCAACCAATGAAGATGAATGCTATAGAGTCACAACCCGTTTTACTGCTGAGGAAATTACTCACGGAATTGATGAAACTGGTCTCACGAAAGTTGTTACACGTCTTCTTCTGCTAAATTCTTCTTTTTGTCTGGGTATTTTTGTTCCTGTTTTTTGTATTGCCATGTGTGCTTTTTTTCTTTTCTTTTGGTGGTTAGTTCCTATCATTTCTTAGTGTATCATATGTTTGGTTGCTGAGAGAATCACAAGGAAAGAAGAAAGAATGTTGCTTTAGTTGTCTTTTATGTTAAACCAACAATTGAGCACCAAAAAGGAGTTTCTTTTGGTGACCTATCTAGAGTTAAGTGTGTATGATCGTATGATCCTTTCTTCTTGTTCTCTTTTATGGGTAATTGTTTAGTATTTCATTGGAGAAAATGGAGTTAATCAAAGTTTCACTTCAGTTTTGTAGTATTATTTAGGATTGTTATGCTCTGAATGTAGTTCAGAGTCTTCCTATGAACTTATTGTTACCTTTACAAAAATAATTTATGTGAAAATATTTTTTTCCAGACCCAACACAACAAGGTTAAAATTAGAATGTTGAATGTGATTAAAAGCATCTCAGAGTGGTACCCAAAGTTCCATTGTTGTTTATGCTTCGGCTCTGCAAGCAACACATTCATACTCTCATCGTCTATAAAACTCCCATATCTTCCCAACAAGCATGTCAGGACAGCAGGGTTTCCTCATCTATATTTTTCAAAATTTTGTATTATGTATCCTTAACCTTCAGCATTGAAGTGCTCAAGTTAGAGCATTATAGCCAGAGATAAACTTTCAACGGCACTAGCTGTGGCGGTACATCGTTCGTCACTTGATCGTCTTTGTATGTGATGACAAATGTGTTTGATCCTAGCTTCACCTCATCACACAAAAACAACTCATAAGAAGAAGAAGAACCACTAAAAGCATTCATCTTAGAAACTCCATGAGCCTGGTTAAGGCGTTCATGGGCTATTGCCTCACTTGTGTGATCGTCATTAAATTTGCATCCTTGACCTAACACATAGTAGGGATAAGGAATAGAAGAAAGTAACTATGGTCCTGATGCATTGGGTTGAATGTTTATATTGGAGTTGAAAAAAACAATATAACCATTAATAAAATCGACGATCCAAGATTTGCAATATTCGATAACGAAATCGATGATCGACGAAGGTCACCATTAACAAACACCAAATTTCGTCGTTCTTGAAATATGGAACAACACAATCTAATGGTGAAAAAAAAAGTGTATTGAAGTAATCAAACTGTCTAAGGATTTGATTGAACTTTCTGTTTACCAAAAAAGTAAATGTAAAACTCGACAAAGGAAGAAAAGTGTAAGACTTTTGGTTGGAGTAACTTTAACCTTTAATTTTTGTCATGTCATGTCCATGTGGCAATTTGACATCTCTTTTGGAAATGCTCTTAGGCTTTCTCCAATCATAGGGGCCAAACCCAAAAAATTCAAAAAATTTAGCCAAAATCCATCTCCAACCCAAATACAATGAAGGGTGTAATTTTGGGCATATGGGTTTTGTGGAGGACATATTAGCCCAATTTTTCAGTCCATGCGGAAATTTCATGGCACCCAAGTGCAAGCTCGGTTGCAGCACGTGAAAAGAGGCAATGGAATGGCAGAAGTGGGTGAGCCTAGGGATGGCAACGGGCCGGGTATGACGATTCCATCCCCGTCCCTGCTCTCCATCCCCACCTCCATCCCCAAACCCATCCTTGTTTAATAGGTTTCGAGAAATCCTCATCCCCGTCCCCGTCGGGGGACTATCCCTCATACCCGCCTTGAATCCTTTTTTTTTCTTTTTTTTTGCATAAAAAAATATTTATCATACATTTTAACATTAAGTTTCATATTAAATTATCATTCAACACATCCAAATTAACTATAAAGTTCAACTCAACTATTCAAAATCATATCAATATGAAATTCCAAAGAAGATTAGGAAGAATTAGGAGAGGGAGGTTAACTTAGGGTTAAACATAAATATTGTAATTATATATTTATTTATTTAAATATAAACATATATATTTTCGGGTCAGGTTCGGGGATGGAGACGCCAATGCCATCTCCTCCCCATATTCGTCGGGAATTTTTCAAGTTCGGGGATTCCCATACCTGATACCCGTTTGCTCTCGAAATCTCCCATCGTTAGGGTTGGGGACCCGCCTTGGCGAGGATTTTTGCCATTCCTAGGTGAGCCATGTCAACCACTTAAAGGAAAAGGCTGTGACGCGTGGTGCTCCTTAGGGGTTTATACATTGACATCTAACGATATCATTTGAATATTTTTTATATATATTTCAAATGTAACGTCTACTTAATCCAATGACTGAGAATAAAAAGTGGCTAGATCAATGGGAAAAAAAATGATCCAATGGCCGAAATTAAAATCGAATGGTTAAGATAAATAAAACAAATATTATAAATTAGATCCAACTTCAAAACACACCCAAAACTTTATAAATACCCATCAATTTGTTAAATAACTCACAAAAGTTTTATTTTTCATTTTTCATCTATCTTTTCTCACTATGTTAATTTCGTTCAATATTCTTCCATTTTTGTTGAAGATGGCACTAAAACCACAAAGATAAGTTAATTGGAGACCACAAGAAGATGAAACATTATGCAAAGGATGGATTTCTATCGCTAAAGATAGGGCTATTGGCATAAATCAACCAAATGACTCATTTTGGCAACGTGTGTACCAAATTTTTTTGAAAAATGGTACGGGCATTGTTGGACCCAAGCCGAGAACACCGCAAGCCATTGCTTCTTGACTCAAGACTATTAATTGACAATGTTCTCTTATGAAGGCATGTCTGACTAAGGCCAATACAAGGCATGCAAGTGCCCCAAATCTTTGAAGATGTGGTGAGTACCTATTTTATTAAATGCCTAAATTTATAATTCTAATTTAGGAGATAAGGAAATATAAGGGGAAAGTATGGCTCATGTGCAACGACATCATTCAAGATGCGATAGAAAAACTCTCTCCATCTGTTGAACCTCCTGCAAAAGTCCACTGGGGAGTATAATGGTCTTTCGCAAAAGTAGTCCTTCATGAGATTATGATGTTACTTTTCTCTCTTCCAATTCTTGTATTTACAAACTACAAAGGAACCACCATGTTGGGATAGCTGGGCATACTACTTCAATAAAAACATATGATGTTGAACGATCATTGCAACCCTTTGTTGATGAAGGTCATCATCAGAATCATCATCGAAGAAATTTTGTATAGCCTTCCCATATGAATTCATTGTAAGAAGGAGAATGAAAATAAAGGAGATTGTGTGTTTCGTTGGGTTGAAAGGAAGATGATGTTATTAAAAATTATGTTCTCTTTTTCTGTAAAACTCTTATTCAAACCTTTAAATATAAATAATATATAAAATAAAGTTTTAACAGTAAAATAAAAATAAAGAAACAAATAAATAAGTACAATAAGTCAAGAGTAAGAAAGCAAGCCTGGTATAGTGAAAGAATGTCAAAGATGTTGTCTTAAAGTCTTTGTAACCTCCCTACGTGCAGGTAATGACGGTCTACAAGACTCTAAGATGCGACCCCCAATAAGCAAGCTCAAGGTCCGCCATGAGCATGTTCACAATCAGATAGAAATCTCCAGGTCACAGAACCGTTGCCCAAAAATAATAATATGGAAAGTAGAGAATATATGAAAGTAGGAGAATAGAGAAATCAAATTGTGGTGTATTTCAAATGTGAAGGAGTAGTGGCTTTTTATAGGCATCCAACACTTGTAACCTCCAGACACATTAAACCAAAAAAACTAAGGCAATGAATAAAAAATAAAAGCTGAAAATGAAACAGTTGTAAATCTCATAATAAATAAAAGAAAACAACCAAAAAAATATCAAAACGTTAAATTTTAAAAGTCTTTCAAAGAACAACATATGATAGGAAATCAGGATAAAATACAAATGAATAAGGAGGAAGAGAGGAAATAATGGCAAAATGACAAAACGAGGTGGCCTACATGTCTTATCATAATTGAATGAAGATAGGAAAAGATATATAAAGATAAGGGAATCCAATAAAGTGATATTGACAAAGGTGAGAAATGGTTCATAATATATTTGAAACAAGATAATAAGAGATAATGGGAATCCAATAAAGTGAGATGGACAAAGATGAGGAATGGTTCAGAACATGATTAAAACAAGATAATAAGAGATGGTGAAGGGTTCATAAAATAATTGGAGAAGAGAAGTGGAGGTGGGCATGGGTTCATAACATTATTGAATTATGATAAAGGAATCCAACGAAGTAAAAATAAAAGTAAAAACCAATATACTCATCCATTTGGCTATAAATATTTACCTCCATATACAACCTAATCAACCACACCAATGAAACCTAACAATCAAAGGCAACATCATACATTTGATTGAGGATCCCTTCATCCTAGATGCAATCCACCTCCACCTCCTTTAATAATCAAGAAATGCATTGAACAAGTGTTCTTAGTGTCCGACTTCACTCAAAGTTCAGAAATTTGAGCTCATAAGCAGTATCCAATGTCCAACACCAAGATAATCAAAAGGAAATCTGTAGTTTGTAAGCATGACAATGAAACAATTAATTTAACATTGGAAGAGTATAAAGAAAAAATAAAAGGCAGTTATGGTGATGGCTTCAATGAAAGGTTCAAATTATTCCGGGCATATGCAAAAGTAGCAGCTCCAGGGACTATAGATTGGGATGATGTAGATGATGTGACCGCATTGGAACTAACCAAATAAGTCAAGTTGTTCAATTTGCTTTTAATATAAGTCGCGTGGTGCTTGTTTTTACTTTCAAAGTTATGAAATAAAACACCAACAAAAAAAAGTTATGAAATAAAATGTTGTTATTCATGTTTTTAATTTTAAGTGAAATTATATTGTATTTTGGATTTTGGATTTTTGTTGTTGTTGTTAAATGTTCATAAAATTAAATCACAAATGTTGAAACAAAAATAATGTCAAGAAAAATTGATGACAAATAAAATTAGAGGTTAACTATTTTTAAACAATTTAATAAAGTTGTGAACTTAAATTATAAGTATGTATTAGAGGAAAAAATATTCCAATTAATATATGAAAAGTTGTTATTTGTTGGTGAAAATTTGAGTTTAGAAGGAAATTTATATGTCAAAATTTATGGTATAGATCATTAATTCAGAATAGAATAAAATAAAACAAAATAAATCTGGGCCATATGTAGTTCTTCTGGATTTAACCTTGGGCCATTCTATATGTTAGACTCGGCCTGTATCTCCGTCCCGCCCTTTCCACTGTGATTTCCCGACTCTCTCTCTCTCTCTCTCTCACTCCGAGAAGTGAAAATCCTCTCTGTGTCTCTGTGTTTCTCTGTTTCTCTGTTCTTCGTCTATGCATGCATGAGTAGAAGAGAAGAGAAGACAAGTACAGAAGCTAGCGAAGATGAGTACGGTGGACAAGATGCTGATAAAGGGAATTCGGAGCTTCGATCCGGAGAACAAGCTCGTCATCACCTTCTTCAAGCCCTTAACCCTAATCGTCGGCCCAAACGGCGCCGGAAAAACCACCATTATCGAGTGCTTGAAGCTCTCTTGCTCCGGTGAGTTGCCTCCCAATGCTAGGTCTGGCCACAGCTTCATCCATGACCCGAAAGTTGCCGGTGAAACCGAGACCAAAGCCCAGATTAAGCTTCGATTCAGAACCGCAGCGGGTAAAGATGTGGTGTGCATTAGGTCATTTCAGCTCACGCAGAAAGCCTCGAAAATGGAATTCAAAGCCATCGACAGTGTCCTTCAAACCATTAATCCCCACACCGGAGAGGTACAATTGCTTTTCAATCAAAACTTCAAATTCTTGTTGAATATTCAAATTTTGGTTTGTGTTGTTGATTCTTTATTTCCGAGTTGCAGAAAG